CGCGAGCGTCTGCCGCCCTTCGGCCCATTCCTGTGCCCACTGGCCGCCGTGTTGCGGTACGGCGGTGCGGTCGGTACCGCGAGGTGAAGGCTAGGCCCGGATTGTTCCTATTTGGGGCTGGCTCGGTTGCCGGCCACGAGAGCGTCTCCAGTCTGCCCGAGAAGGATAGGTGTGGGGCTGGCAGATAACGTTGCTCGCGGTACCGGCCTGGCAGCGCTGCTGTTCGTAGGTGAACCCGGCGAACTTCTGTGAGGTGCGTTAATGCCCTCCATCCGTGCTTGGAATTGGGAACCCCTCATTGCAGCGCTGTGCTGGTGCCTGGCAGCATTAAGGGATAAGCTGTTGTAAGCCCCAGGGCTGCAGTTCCGTGCTGACCTTGCGCAGGTGAAAGGAGGTTGCTGCAATGCAGTGTCACAAAGCTCTGGTTTAGAAACTACAGTCTAGCTCTTCTTGTACCTGTGGTTGCTCCTGTTTTGGGAGCACTGTCAAAGGTGCGCGTTGCTGGTGCTTCTTGCTGTGAAGCTCAGCTGCAGCCCTGTTGGGCTTAGCTACCAACCAAGTTGGGCTTTTTGCAACAGCAGTTGGGAGCCCTGAGTACACACAGCACACAGCATTTGATAGGGAAGGGAGAGTGGGGTTGGGAGGCGCTCAGTCAGCATTGGAGATGGTTCTCAGCTGGCCTGTTCTCTTTTCCTATTTAAAAAAGGAGAGCTGTTTTCTTTTCTGGTAGAAACATAGATTATTTTATAAGCAGATGTTTTTCTTCTGTACAACAGATCAGAAAACTTAGTTTTAATGTGAAGCGTGCCAAAAAATGTGCCCTAGAATCTTATTACTTCCTGAAAGCAACGGGATGAGATTTGGGTTAAAAGAATGGAAACAAACGTGGTGTCCCACAGGCATGGGTGAGCAGAAGGACTGCTGCAGTATGCCCGTGTTAATGTGAGCTGCAGGGATGCTGCATGGTGAGGAACCTCAGTAATCTCCCGTGGCAGTGTCTTTTGGCTGCAGTTGGCGTTCAGGTGAGCACTGCTGCTCCTCTGGGCGCAGTTCTCCCCCACGCCTCTCATGAGGAGCGCTCCCAGTGCTGCAGTGCAGGGGAACTGGGCTGATGGCTCTGCCTTCTGCACGTCCCACCCTCTTAGTGAGCCTGTCCCTCGGTGCTTGCCCTTGCTGTCATCTGGTAACAGGATGTCTTTGAGAGTGGTCGAAAGAGCTTTTATTTAAAATTGGCACTGAGATGCGGATTGATGCTTTTCCCAATGTGTCAGTGCAGTAGGGGTTGCCCACCACATCTTACAGATGGGGCTTCCCGTCCTCTCCCCTCCGCTCCTGTCCTCTCCCCTCTACTCCCCTTTCCCCCTTGCTCCTGGTCAGGTTGGTATGGTGCTGGAGTGGTGTTGGAAAGGTACAGAGAGGCGCCTGAGTGACCTTGTTGCCCTTGTCCCAGGTGAGTCAGTCATTTGCTTGTGTGTGGCTGAGACTTCCCTTGGGAAGGAGGAACACTCAGGTAGAATGTTGCCTGCAGGGCCTCTCTTGTGGGTGCCGGTACCCCAAGTCTTGGGACCGCCCTGAGCTGCTGCTGGGAAGGGCTGTTGGGACACAGCAGGTAACAGCCTGTCCTTTGGCAAGGTTCTCTGTGCCCGCAGGGTGAGCTTTTGTTGTTGCCCTGTTCTGGAATGCCAGCCTTATCAGGTGTCTACTGCCCCAGGAGATAGAGCCCCCTAAATAGCATCTGGGCAGGGCACTGGCAGAGGGTTGGCTCAGTGGGGTGTCTCATTCTACTAGTAGTTTTGTGTGTTTTCCAGGTGTTGCTAACTTGTTGCTTGTAGGGTTTTAAAGCTTCTAGTCCTTACTTCTAAGGTCTGATTTGCTAGCTTTTCCCCACGTGTGCCTGCACTAATCTGTTTCTGTCAGGTTTCCCGAGGCAGAAGTAGCAGCAGCGGTGTTTTCTTGCTTTCCAGCAGGCAGCCATCACTTGCTTCTCAGACCCTGTCAGTAACAGGATAGGTGCCTCAGAGCTGTCGTGGAGAACGCTCACCGAATGCCCGTCGGATGGCAGGGGCTGCAGACAGGTGACCCTGCTGCAGCTAAAGATAGCCCTGCGTCTGGCTGCAGGGCACTCGGAGAGATACATTGCCTTAAATGGTGAGCTGAGCTGCAGGAGCCGGCACCTTGTGCTGCGGTGACACGGGACAGGTGGCTGTGCTGCCTGGGACCCTGCCCAGCCTGCCCACAGGGCAGCACCTCGGCAGCACCGCAGCTGGCATCCAGAACACTTGGGATTCCCTTTTTTGTGGTGTTGTGCTGGGGCCGGATGGTCTGCCTTGTATCCAAGTGTGTTCCCTTGGAGTTGCTTTATATTAGTTTTATTTAACTGCTTCGTTTTCATGAGTTTTCAGAACTCAAAAACAAAAAAAAGACCTTTTCACCTTAGTCCCTCAGCTGTTGTTTAAGAGAAAGCTTTGTGGTTCTGTTGTTTTCTCATTACCAACCATGCCCGTTAGCCCAACTTGCCAGTGTTTTCAGTATTAGGAAACAAGATATCACTGTTGTGCAAATTAATCTTGTTTTTTGTACGTACGCTTTGTCTAAATAGACTGAAAAGCTGAAGATAAGTGATGTTTGTAATTTAATGGGATCACAGTTGGAGATGGGTTTGCTTCTCTCTGCTCTGTCATTTTACAGCCATCTTCATCACAATTCCTATTGTGCTTAAATAGGAAGTAGAGGAGAAACACTCAAAAATCTGTCTCTGTAAGCTCTTGCACTCCTATTAGAAACAGGGAGCTTGGCTGTGAGCCAGAGATCTCAGAAGTGACAGCATTGGTTCTCGTTGGCTGCTTGTCTCATGTCTTCCCTGAACGTTTCTGTCGGCAGTAAGGTGTAATGGTGTGAAGGCACCGGACAACTTCTTGATCTTCATGTTTAAGATTGAACAGCACTGTTGAACATACAATGATTTGTATGGACTTGAGCCTGGAGTGTTCAAGGCCAGGCTGGATGGGGTTGTGAGCAACCTGGTTTAGAGGTGTCCCTGCCTATAGCAGAGGGATTGGAACTGGATGATCTTAAAGGGCCGTTCTGACCAAAACCATTCCATGATTCTGTGACTTGTATGACTAATCTGGTCTCATAACACTTTTATCCTTCTGCAGTGGAAGCATCAGTACACGGAAGCAATGTACACTGCACAGATAAGACAATTGAAGCTGCAGAGGCCTTGCTTCATATGGAGTCTCCTACCTGCCTGAGAAATGCCAGGAGTCCTGGTATGTCAGCTACAGTTTCTCCTCCTCAAGCAGTTTTTCTTTCCACTAATCATTAAAACCATCATCCTGTAAGGAGCATGCTTTCAGGTGGTATCATTTACCTGAGTCATGTTGTTGGGTGCACATACTCGAATAAGCTGCACATTTAAAGTGGACTTTTCCATCTAAACATCAGGTAAAACTTTTTTATTGTGCAGGTGATGGAGCACTGGCACAGGTTGCCCAGAGAGGTTGTGGAGTCTCCTTCTGGGAGATCCTCAGTAACTAGCTGGAACATCATGGTCACCCTGCTCAGGGCCTCCATGTTTGAGCAGAGGTTGGGCCAGGTGACCTCAGGCATCTCGTCCTACTTAAGTCGTTCTCTGATGCTATGAACCTGACATTGTGCTTTGCTAAAATAGTTACTTCAAGGGAAAATTATTTTCATCTGTTCTTCTGTTTTAGAAAGAATATCTGAATACAGGATGTTGTAAATTGTTACCAGTTTAAAAACCCAGCAGTCAGTGTTGATGATTCCTTTAGTTGTATCTTCTTTCTGAAGTTACTTAAGTATACATCGGATGAAATCGAGATCAGATTGGAACCCAAAAGCTATCAAGTAGGAAATGGAATTTGGGATGCAAACCTGAATGAACTAAGGATCAGAGATTGAGCTCTAATTTTCTTCAATTAAAATTGAATTTAAAGTTGAGCTTAAATCAAAACAGTTTTGCTTTGATATAATTATCTTATGCTCGACAGTGATCACAGGTGTGCATGTTTTGGGGGAGTGGACTGATTTTCTACATGGCAGTTTGTTGGAATTGAATCTTGCTACATTTTTGCACGTGCTTTGTTTAAAGCAATTTCATGTAAGAGAGGTTGGAACAGTCAAGTAGAAACTTCATAACATACTTGTTCTTTTTTCCCCCTTTTCCTCTTAGTGGAAGTTTTGGTCCCTCCTTGTGTGTCAACCCCAGAGTTCATCCATGCAGCCATGAGGCCTGATGTGATCGCAGAAACTGTGGTAGAGGTGCCAGCAGATGAATCTGAACCAATGGATTCATCTCCTGCTCGAACGTCCCCTGATATCCATGAACGAATGAAGAAGAAAAAAGGTGCGTATGGCTCCTCATAGCAGCTACCTCAGGGTTTATCTCTTATGCAGACAGCCACAGATGGTGCAGTTGAGATGCATACAGATAGGTTAGATTAGCTGATTTCTCTGCTCAGGTTATCAGTGTGGATCACGTCTGAAATGCGAGTTCTTAGAGAGCAGGCCTGTGACAACATCCAAAAGTAGCGAGAGAGTGCGTTTTACCAACTGCTAAGGAAAAGGATTTCTTTTTTTGCTCTGTGCCTTGTTAAGTGAAGTCTGCAGAGTGGGGGAAGGGTAAAGAAGGGTTCAGAAAGGACTTGAAGGGGGTAAATGTTTCTCTGGAATAGGTGTGTGAGAGCAGGTGGTCTCAGGAGTCCTCGAACGGAACAGTAGAAAAGTTACTAGCTTACAAGCTTATAATTTGATTTACAGAATCAGTACAGTGTCTTTCTGGGAAAGAAGTATCTTGTTTGTCTGATCGGTGTGCCTTGGAGGAGGCACTAATGGGAACAGTGAACGAGGTCTAAGCATTCAGCTACCAAATGAAATGGCTCTGAATGGTCGGTATCAGTCTGGTCTAGCAGTTTGCTTACAGGCATGTTATAATTCTCTTAACCATAGGAGGACTTTATTAGAGATTCCAGCTGTATGTATGCAGGGTTGCTTCTAGTTTAGGGAAAAAAAGCTGCAGTGTCATGGTAAAGCATTATATAGCTGAGGTCTACAGTTTGAGATTTGGTGAAGTCACATGCACGTCACTATGGCTGTAACTACCCTAAATGACATAAGCAGGAAAATAACGATAGTGCTTTTTTATAGCTGTATATTGGATTTAAAATGTTTCTGTACTTTTCCACTGTCTGTCTGAATAGTCATCAGTGGGCAGATTATGTTACAGGGCTGTGCTCAGAAAGCTGAAAGTGTGTAAGGTCATTCAGATACGGCAATGGAATGATAACTTCTGTCGTCATAACTAATGCTTGTTGAATTCAGCATTTACCGAAGAATATTATTCATCAGCAAAAGATAATGCTGTTGCTCCCGAGGAAGGAGAGTTACTTGCTGCTGCTCTCCTCAAAGTGACGGCAGAAGTGAGGGTTGTTTGCAATCTGCTGCCCTAGGTTATGATCCTCTCCCAAGCTTGGGCCCGTTTACCTCCATGGAAAGGTCAATGGAGTGTAAAAGGGTGAGGATTTCCCTGACACCGGAGCACAGCAAGGGGCTGCGAGGGCAGAGCAGCCCCAGCACCACCCTGAGACCTGCGTCCCAGGGGCTGCACGCTGAGAGGAAGCTTGCCTGTAGCTTTTAATGGGCAGATGTGGAGCGGAAGTGGGAGTTTTGTGGATTCAGCTGTAGGATTTTGTAGGAAAACTGATGCTTTGATGGGCACGTGCTCTATCGAAAACAAAGCAGGCGGAAGGGTGGTAGGTTCCAGAGTAAGAGAGGCATGTGACTAAAGGAATGCAAATACACTGGATTTACTTCATGTGTGTGGTGTGCACTGCACCTGCCAGTAATTCATCTGAAATGAGGTTAAATCTGCCTCTGGAATAAGCAGACGAATGATGCGTTAAATTGGAAGTGCAATAGTCGTCATCTAAGAATGGCAGTTTATCCATACTTGAAGCAAGGAAATAGCATTAAAAAAAAAAAAAAAAGAACTTCTTCTTTCAGCAAAATCAAACAACAAAATGCTTTTATTCTGCATACAATTAATACTTTTCATTTTTCCCTGCATGTGTTGTGTGCGCAGCTGGCCGTAAACCCAAGAGCCAACAATTGACCATTTCAGATGGGTCTCCAGACCTAGGTATAAAGAAGAAACCTAGAGAAGGCAAAGGTATAATTTTACATCGTTAAATCATGTCATTTATATGTATTGTGTGTCTTGTAGGTAAAACTGAGATCTTGAAAACTTTGGTGGGTGAATTTGCACTGACTTCATTCGGTCTCAACTTTATTTGATGTCTTTGCATTTGTTGTTGCAAGATGAAGTACAAGGATGTTTCTAACTCCCCTGTAATACAACCCGTACATTTTCATTTGCTTTGCATTTATTGCTGTCTTCTGTGGTGTGTGTTAACTTGTTGCCAGGCACATAATTTGCTAAGCTGCCGCTGTAGGACTTGCTCTGAAGTAGAAGCAGCTTGTGGGCATTTGTAATGTTGAGGGCTGGAAATGTGTTCCCTTAATTGATTCACAGACATCAGTGGGAATGTGTTGCTTGACTAATAGATACAAATTGGCTGAAGGGTAAAAACAAATGATGGTATGTTTCTCTGCTGCTTGAGTGAGGAGCTGTATGCAGAAGAGTCATTATTCTTATTGTTTTTCATGATGAAGAGTCCTGTCTTGGTTTGCAAGCCCCAGCTTTTCACCCAGAGATCAGACAGACCCACAGCACCCACTCACAGGTTACTGCTGAATTGCAGTGCAGTGTATCAGCTCTTAGCCCTGCCTAGGTGCAGAGCGTGGATCTTGTTCCCAGCTAACTTCACAAATAGTTGTTAGGAGATTGCACTTACAGCTAGGAAAATAGAGTTTTAGTGACTCTCAGTAGCAGTGTACCAGCTGAAAGAGCATGCAGTTGTCAGCACGAGAGCTGTTATTATTTCAGGATTTGTTTGAAAGCAGGATCTGTGCTATTTACGTCATTCCTTATCTGGGGACAGCTCCTGAGTCGTGCTTGTGAGCAGGCTGAGGAAGAATGGATGCTAGCTCATGGAAACCAGTGCAGAAAATAATTACGTTTCCAGGCATCGGTCTCTGTTGGTGCCTTTGATTTTTCACTGTAGCAGATCTTTGTATTTGCTGTTCTTAAAAGTGCTTCTTGTTTGATTATTTTTTTAAATATTTTTTTAAATCTTCTTTGTAATTCTGATGTTGCTTTTAGTGCTTCCTGTTATCTGAAGAGCATTTGTGAACTGCCCTTGTTGCTGCAGAAATGACTTTCTGTCCTTCCAGTTTGTGTTTCTAGTGCTGATTTCTCTCCTTAGCTGTTAGTTTTATCAAGTGTGAGATGTTACTACTCTTTTTTCCAGTTTCTATGGGTGCTTAGGATATGCTTTTGTTTGTTGTTCTCACAAGTTATCTCAGTCCATATTTTACACCACAGCTGGCATAACATACATTTTCTTTCTTCATGAAGGTTAACTTGAAGTCTTGCAGAATATTTTGTTACTGGCTTAATTTTATTTACTGTTTCTTTTAAAGAAGGATTTGCTATATGCAGGTTGTTTGACACGTAACATGTTTCTGAAAAAACAGGAAGTATTGCTAGAGCTGAGTGCTGTCAGCAGATTTAAGTCCTGGAGGAGAAGAACGGCTGGTTGTATGCAGCTGGAAACAGGTTGCTTGTTGTCTGTGCAGGTACTTCTTCCTCTGTGCATTCTGGATGGGTACGCAGTAAAGCAACTGTAGATAATCAGCTTGAGTTTGTTATATCGAGGGAACTGAAGACTCCTTAACTGGGGTGAAAGTACTAGTAGTTGTCCTCACGTAGAAGATTGAGAGTTTATATCTGGCTTAACTTCCCTTATTTTGTTTTTGCTTTGCTTACATGCTGTTTTAAAAGTGTAGACTGATAGCATAAAGCTGCAGGAGAATTTTTTCCCTCAGAGGGAGCAGAACTGGCCTTGAGCCTTTCAATAGAGGTGCTGGTACAAATGTGACAGTTGATACAGTGCCTTGTATCATTGACATGCTTTCTGGCTGTTAGTCCTTATAATTTGAGTACAGCTGACACAGTGAGTGGTGTTCCCCAGGGGTCGGCACTGGGCCCAGTGCTGTTCAGTATCCTTATTGATGACCAGGGTGATGGCACTGAGAGCACCCTCGCTACGTTTGCAGATGACACCAAGCTGGGAGGAGCTGTTGATGTGCTTTGGGGTAGGAAGGCCCTGCAGAGCAATCTAGGCAGGCTGGATTGCTTGGCTGAGGCCGGTAGGATGAGCTTCAACACGACCAAGTGCCAGATTCGGGTTGGATGTTAGGGAACTTGTTTTCTCTTGCAGAGTGATGGGGCGCTGGAACAGGCTGCCCAGGGAGCTGTTGGAGTCACTGACCTGGGAGGTGTTCAAGAGACTTTGAGATGCCGTTCTGAGGGACAGGGATTAGTGGGGAAATATTGGTGTTAGGTGGACAGTTGGACTGGGTGATCTGATTCTATGATTAAGTAACAGACAGTTGTAATGATCAGCTAGATACAAGCAAAGTATTTCACTGTGCCAAATTGCTCTGTACTGAAGGTAAGGTAGGTAATAATTGTGTCAACTCTGTGCACTCTTAAGGTATATTGGTGATCTTGAGACTTTCCAGGTGTGGAGATGAGTTCTAGATGCTACTGAAAAAGGCTCCTGTCTTCCTAGCAAGATGTACTATGTGCTTATATCTGCCATGCCGGATTTTGGATGCATAACAGCAGCATGAATGTAAACCTGCTCAGATAATACATTTTATAGTCGTATCTTTTTCTTCCTCAGAAGTCAATAGGCTCGTATTCATGGTATGAGGAAAGGTTAGTTTTCTAGGGAGAGAGGATTTAAAAACAGTGCAAACATTTCTAAAGTTAGCTTTTGTGTTAAATGCATAGCAACCATTATTGCCAGAGCAGCAGAGTAGATGGCCTCTGAGTAACATAACTATTCCATAGGCCTCATGTGGAAAAATGTTATTCAGGTCACTAAGAGTTTGAAGAAAAAAGGAAGAAGTGTTGAGTCAGCAGCTCCTTTCCAACAGAAAAAATAAGGCACTTTCAGGAATGATTTCTCTCGAAGGTCAGTTTTATTTCTGCAGTGAAACGGTTCCAAACCTCTACAGGATTTGTTGGTGAACCCAGAAATTCTATTTCTAAGGAGCTAAGAAAAAAAAAAAAAAGAAAAAACAAAACAAAACAAAAACAGAATTAATTTGAAGGAAAACACTCCAAGTTAATATTTTTTCTCTTATAGAAGTCTTTCTGAAGTGGGAACTTACCGGTTGCTTGGTTACACGCAATTATGAGGAGTTAAAACACTTAGCATCTAACTAACAGCATTCTGAGATTAATAAGTTAGGGAAGATTATTCTGACTTGATAAATGAAATTAGAAGAACGATATAAAAAGCTGCAAGAGGTTTTTTTTTTTGTCAAAATTACCTTTCACTTCCCTAAAATACAGCATGAAGATTATCCAGAATGATTCCAGGATTCTGGAACATCTTGACTCATATAAGTCCTATATTTCTCTGAAATGCAGCTGGATTTTCATATGACTTGATTCTGTACTTGCTGTTTACTGGAGCACTTACTAAAATATTGGGTAGTCTGTCTCTGAGATCATCATCAGAAGATGGAAACCATAATGAGATTTTTCTAAGGTAGTTAACTTCTTGGACTCTGTAAGAGAGGCCTTTCAACTGCCTTAATATATATTTTGTTGTTACGCCGTGCTACAAACAAGTGCTGTGCTGGGCCATTAAGCTTCAGGAGTTAATGATCTCTTTGCACGCAGAAAATATTGGGGTGTATGTTTTAATTTGCTCATGGCACCTGCTGTTGGCTTGGAAGCATGATCACGTGAATTGAGATGGCCATTCTGAGGTTGTTACTCTTGTGGATCTGTGTTGGTTTTCCCTTCTTGAATTGCTTTAGCGGTCTTCTCCAGCACTACTGATAAAACAGAGGTATCTTTTTTCCTTCTGCTTTTCTTTCCCTTTTGCTAGGTATAGTCAGAGTCCAGGCAGCCCTCAGGTTATGTTTTATGCCATCCTGATAGTCATTGTTACAGATGTTGTCTTGTGGCACCTCCAGTGGAAATGGTACAGGAATTGTACACCCCTGAAATGTCTGAGAAGTGTATTGAATTCTTATTCTGTAGGCTTCTTTGTTCTGTACCTCCCCAGTTGCAGGAAGGTACGTGGCATTTCTGCCGTGTAAATCCTTGCAGGGAGTAGCTGGACTGGCTTTGCACCTAGCAGGCCTCGATCATTGTGCAGGATACATTTGGATCAGAACACGGGGCTGTCAGCAGCGGGTGTGAGAATCCCCTTGGTGCTGATGTCCCATTGAAGTCAGCGGGATGATCCTGGACAGGAGGTTGTGGCCTTATTGCCGTTTGAGATGGTTATTGAAGGTTATATGCCTTTGTACATGATTTATTTCTGTCGTCTTGTACTTCAGCATCTTAAAGTGCACTGGCTTTTCTCTCCTCTGCTTAAGAAACTGAGAAGAAAATTCTGAGCTGTGTTCCTATCTGCGCAGAGCAGCTGTAGGTTGTAGAGTCTTGGAACACCCTCCTGTACTTCTTTTCTCTTTTCAAGATCTGGGAATGGGTGTGGAATTGAAGAGGCTCCTGTGCTATCCAACAGATCACCAGGGTTAGCTCCTTTCAGAATGTAAATATTTATGAAAGCTTTACTAAACAGAATGAATGAATGCTTGCAGGTTGCATTACATACCATCCTCTGCGTAGTGTTTGCCTGTAATTTAGGTCATTTGGAGTTAGCTATATATGGAGAATTTTCTGCTGTCCTTGAAAGTGGATTTCTAATGTTCAAATGCTTTCTGATTATAGGAAATACAACATACTTATGGGAGTTTCTTCTGGACCTTCTCCAGGACAAAAATACTTGTCCTCGTTATATTAAGTGGACTCAGCGAGAGAAAGGAATCTTTAAGCTTGTGGACTCGAAAGCTGTCTCCAAACTATGGGGAAAACACAAAAACAAACCTGACATGAACTATGAGACCATGGGAAGAGCTCTGAGGTAAAATCTTAAGCTGCTACTTAATTACTGCTCCTACTATGATTTCACATCTGACTCTTAAATCCTCAAGTCTAAAATGAACTGTATAGAAATAATGCTAATTCTGAGGTGTTAAAAGCTGCCCTTTTGCTGACTTTGCTGATGAAAAAGCAGCAGTTTTGCAGTTCCTGTTGCTTTCCATGTTACCAGTTAATTTGCAATTTACCTTTAGAGGTTTGTGTTTAAAAGGCCAGATTTTTTTTAAGCTGGATATTTGAGATGCTGTGCAGCTTCTTGCCATGCCTTCTTACATTTTATTTTTGGCTGTGGTTATGGTAGATTTTCTTGCAAGTACAGAGCAAGTTTTTCTCTAGAATCTGTATCAGTTACCACTTAAAGGTACTTCTCTTGCAGATACTACTATCAAAGAGGAATCCTTGCCAAAGTTGAGGGACAGAGGCTCGTTTATCAGTTTAAGGAGATGCCAAAAAATATAGTTGTCATCGATGATGACAAAAGCGAACCCTGCAGTGAAGATTTGTCAATGCCTACAGATGAGAAGTCATTGGAGAGAGTGTCTTTATCTGCAGAAAACCTCTTGAAAGCAGCGACCTCTGCACGCGGAGGAAAAAACTTGTCTCAGTTAAGCTGTACCAGAACAGAAAAAGCAGTCACCAGAGTGGTGAATATTGCCTCACCAGCACACGATTCATCATCATCTCGCCCCTCGACAACCACTACTACTGTCCCAGCGTCGTCAGCTCCCAGGTTGGTATTGATGTGGCTTGGGCTTGTTGTTCACCGATGAATGACGAGCAGCTTTTTTGGTTGGGATGGTGTCTTTATTACTTTGTATGCTGGAAGTCTTCTCTGATCTACAGGCAGCCATGAATTGTGGTAGAATACTGTGAAAGTGTGGTTTATGAGACAGAGCTGCCTAGCAGTGCACTTGCCCTCAAGCATATTTTAAAATCACGTAGAGAAGAGAGAGATGGATGCTGCTCAATCTACGAAGTCCTATTATGAGATGGACGGGAGGTTTTTGTCCTCGTTCTTAAGGAACCAGTTAGAAAGCTGCAAATTTGGGATTTGCGTATCGCTGTTTTCAGCTCTAACGGTTTAAATGCACGTTTTTATTTTGCAGGACTGTACGTGTGGCAATGCAAGTGCCTGTTGTAATGACCTCTCTGGGACAGAAAATTTCTACTGTGGCAGTGCAGTCAGTAAATGCAGGGTCGCCGTTAATTACCAACACAAGTCCAACAACGGCAACAACTCCAAAGGTAGTAATCCAGACAATCCCTACTGTGATGCCAACCGCTTCTGAGAATGGAGACAAAATCACCATGCAGCCTGCCAAGATCATTACGATCCCCGCCACGCAGCTGACGCAGTGTCAGGTACAGACAAAACCAGGCCTGACTGGGTCGGGAAGTATCAACATCGTTGGAACCCCGTTGGCTGTTAGAGCACTGACCCCGGTGTCCATAGCTCACGGGACACCAGTGATGAGACTATCGGTGCCTGCGCAGCAGGCGTCAGGCCAGACTGCCCCCAGGGTTATTAGTGCAGTAATAAAAAGCCCGGAAGTGAAATCAGACACAGCGGCTGTAACGCAAGAACGTGAAGTGAAAACGCTGCAGCTCTTACAGGAAGAGAAGACGGCAGATGGGAGCAAGACTGTAACCCATGTTGTGGTAGTTAGTACGCCCTCAGCTATTGCGCTTCCTGTGACAATGAAAACAGAAGGAATCCTAACGTGTGAGAAGTGAAGAACAGGTTGCTTCCAGCGTGGACTTACGGACTGTTACTGTTTTGTTTAAACTGACATAACTGGGGAGGGAAGTGGAGGCGATCGCCACGTCAAAAAGGAGAGCGGGGAAGTGTTAAAAAACATGAGTTGCATTGGAGACTTAGTGGGGAGAAAAAGAAGTATTTTTCCCGTGTTTCAGTGGGAATGGAACCACATTGCTATGCTGACAGAAACGGCCTCTTCCAGTCAGGAGACAGCTGAACCCGTGGACGTGGAGAAGGAACGGTAGAGAGACTGAAAAGGGACCAAGCAGTTCACTACGCTGTCACAGCACACTAAGACCTGGAACACTAAAATTGAATTGTGTGAGAGGTTTGCCTTGGTTTTTGGTTTTTCAGGGAAGAGGAAAGTCTCATTTCTAGAAATGGCAAAGTTGATGAATCTTATATGCATACCAGCAATCACTACTGCGTGCCCGCAGTACTCAACTGGTGCTAAGTGAAAACCTCTGCTACTAGGTATTGTAGAATGTGAAATAAAGGAGATTGAAGAGCTTCTAAAAGAAGACAGAGACCTAGAGGGATTTTTGTATCATAGCTTAAGCAGATTTAAAATGAAAGCCTTAGACTGATTTTCAATTATCTTTCTTGAAATAAGCTAATGGCTTGTTTGTTTAAAGCTTTTTTATTAAAACAAATTTTTTTAAAAATCTTGTACCTAGCACAGTATTGTTATAGAATTACATGTAACATATTTTGTATGGTAGGTAAAGTCTGTCTAAATTTCTTAATTGTGGACAAAACAGCAGCAGGCCTCTGGCCTTCTGCTGTAACATGCCTGTGTCTCTCACTTAGCCTTGACATCTGTGCATACATTTCAGTTTCAGCTCTACTCTGTCACTTGAAAGGTCACACCCAGCATGAGCTTTCGTCAGGTAGTTCTAAACCTGTAAATTTTTTTTTTTTTAGTTGAAGTTAAGAGGGAAGTACCAGTGTTCAGAATGAACTATAATAGTTTGTATATTCAACATTTGAAGTATATTCTATTTTGTTGTACTCTTGTTTCAAAGTGTATTCAAGTAGGTTTTACTGAAATATAGAAATGAAATTTGTTTTGTCTGCCTTCTGTTTTTAACTTTTTCCTTTCAGCTGTTTGGTTCCTTTTCTGCTTACTTGAAATCATCTGGGCATTCAGCCTCACGTAGCTGGGATAGTGCGGTAACATGGAGCTCCCCAGCACTCTGACACTCCACATGGCTGGCGGCTCTCCCACACAGTGCGCCGAAATAGGTTTCGTTGAAGTATTTGAGAAGCTTGCAGTAGCTGACTTCTGACAGGGGTCTCGTTCTCTAAAGCTTTTTTGGCATGGTCAGCAATACTCAGTGTTCTTCCACTGTGGCTGATTGGACGAGTACTGGAGTGGAGTAACTCGAGTAGCTAGGAAGGTACTGCCCTGCAGTTCATAACTTTCTGTGTGCTCCCATTTGCTGTAAAGCAAAGAAAACTGGGTTTGCTGAAATGGCTCTGAGAACCAGTGTCTCGTGAAGCTCTGTGGACGACTTACAGCTCCTCCAGTAATTCTTTCATTTTCTAAGGCTGCACTGCAAAGTAAAAAGGGGCAAGTGAGCAGACTTCGCTACTGGAGTGTACTGATCTCTCTGAGTGTCTCATAAACGCAAGTAGAAAACACTGGTGAGTAGAAACTGACAAAGGAGAAATGTGTTGAACTGTTGCACTTTTTGATGCTGTTATCATTGACGTCTTCAACTGTTAATATTTTGGCTTCTACACAAGTCAATAATTTTAGGTAACCTTCTCTCCTCCCCCCCCCACTGAGGTAAGTATCTAAATAGGGTTTGTATTTATAGTCACCCATAAGGCGTGGGTGCAGGGTGAAGCTCGGGTGAGATTGCAATGCAAGACTTACGCCACAGTGACAGCCTGCGTATAAGAATGTGGCCTAAAACAGGTGTGTAGTAGCTCATCCTGTTCTCATGGGGATCCACAAGTGGTTCTACAGCTGTCACTACAGGAGCAGCCCATCAGCTTGCAGGTACCCAGGTGCCCAAGAGGAACTTCCAGTTGCTAGCAAGATGTCTTCACAGCAGGGACTCGGTAAATCTCAAAGTAATCAAAGCCTGAATGACCATTTATGTACTTCATGCCCAGACGAGCAGTTCAAACAGAAATCTGGAACTGAGGTCTTCATTGCTTATAAATGAGGCTGGTAGTAAACAGCTGCCCTGAAGTTTATTTTTTCACATTAACTTTTAAAGCTAAAAAACAAGCTACCCGCAGAGTCCTAGCAGTAAGCCTATTCTTGCCTTCAAATGGTGAGAAATGTGGGAATACTTCAATACAGCCAGGCTAGCATGTGGGGGCTTTGTGTTTCTTCTGAAGAGACTTGTTAGACACTCTAAGCAGGGAAGCAGAAATAAGAACAAAGGGATGAACAAAGCTGAAGCGGGGAAACAACTTGGGTGTAGAAGGCAGCAATCCCTTCCAGCAGTAGTTAGCCCAAAGAAGAAAAGGTTCTTAGAGATGAACTGTGCTTCCAGGTCTTGAAATGAGGGAGAAAGGCTCTTTCAAAGGGGGAAGTGAACGAGAAGGAAGAGGATTTGTGCTGCCAAGGAGGAAGTGGGTCAGAAGGCCATGGCCAAGGAAGGGGTAGACCAGAAGGCCAAGTGGGGAGGCTAGTCAATGGGAGTATGCTTATGGAAGTTTGTGAGGCAACTCTACTGTGTAAAGGAAGTGGAGCAGGGTGAAAAGAGGCAGGCAGTGCTTTGTGCTGTGTGGGTAAAATAGGCTGGAGACAACAAAGGCAAAAGCAGTAGCGTTTTCAAACCCACTTTTCTAAGTCTTGTCGGTGAGAAATGATTCTCTTAATGGCTGTTACTTGATCGTGTGTGAAGGGGAGATGCTGTATCTCACAGCATGAAATGTATATCGCTGGTGTATTTGTAGTTAAGACCTTTCCCACACCTGATTTAGATACAAAGTCAACTGAGGGCAGAGTACATTCCTGGAAATAGATAAGGATCTCCAGCTGACAACCTCCTCCTGTTAAGTTAGATCCAGGATTTCATCATGTAATGGCGAGAACAGAAGGAATGAAGGCACAGATCGCTGCTGCTTGCTAGACAAACAGCCCTCAGCCGTGCTTGCAGTTAGTGCCCACGCTCCAGCTGGTGATGGTCCTTTGGCTCTCTCCCCTGGCCACGCTGTGAGTGACAGCTGTGTACCAGCTGCCTCAGGACATGTAGTAGAGGTAGGCTGGGTGCTGCAAGAATCTCAAATCAGTATGAAGGTGCATTGTAATGAATCAGTATTTAGCAAGGCCTTCTCATTCACCTTTCCACATATGGCTCCATATGCCCCACTTGGTTAAACATTTAGCTGCTAGATGTAAATACAGGTGGCCTTTGTCACAAGGCAGGTGGGGACTTCAACATGTCTGCCTAGCTGCTGCTCTTCAGTGTTGCGTGGTTCCTCTGTGTTGACATGACCAGTTATTCTTCATCAGAAAAACGTGTCGCCTTGTTCACAAGCCATGCTTACAGGAGGCAATCTCTTGTAAAGGTTATCGTGGAGGTTTTCTGAGCTAAGAACAAGATTGCTGACTGTCACTGCAGTCATTGTGCAAGCTTGCTCTTTAACATTCTTCATTCTGACGCGAGTAATTGCCGTGTGGGCAAGAAATACTTGTACTGATGATGGTGAAGGACATGAAGTCAGGATGGAGGAGCTTTGGTCCGGTCTGTAACACCTGAAAGACAAAGGGTTGCTAACCAAAACGCTGAAGTTAGCATCCAGATACATTGTTAGACTTGCAGTTCCTTTAGAAGTCTGGTCCTGTGTAGCACTGCTGTCTTAAGACATCAGTAACTGGTGGCTCACGAAGAAGAGTCTAGGCTGAGCCCATCCTGGGCAAGTAGTAACTCCTGGGGATGCCATGAGTGGAATGAAAATGCAGTGTGCAGTGAGCACGCTTCACATAGAAGGCATTAAGGCATGGATTGTTATGGTACCACTGATACCGCATTATGTGTCATGATTATTTTTCAAATATCCTCTTGTAATATTGTAAATTATAGGGTGCAAAGGGTAATGCTGTGTGATCTACAGGGAAAACTAACGTGTGGCAGCTTGAAACATTTCTGCGTTGTGGCTAGAGAAGTTGAAAAAGGAATCTCATCCTGGAGAATTATTTTTGTTGCTCTCTCTTGAACTGATAAAGTCTATCTTTCTGTGCAAACCTGGCGAAAGGGTTTTTATTCTTCATCGAAACTTCTTTCTGGCATCTCAAGCTTAGCATTCAATTGCAGGGTTCTGTGCCTTGGCACAAGTGATCCGGGAAAAGTGTGGTGTGGGGAAGACTTGGCTCTTCTGGTCCTCTGCTAACTAATTTAGTGGACTTTTGGACTTGGCAAATCGTGTCTGAGGTGATGAAGGAGCAGTGAGCCAGAGGTGCTGAGGCAGGAAAGGGGAGCAGTGCATGAAGCCTCAGTTCTTACCCTGACTCGTCCAGTGGGGTCTTGGTTATGTGTGGAGACCATCCCAATCCATACAAGCTAAATTCAATGCTTGCCTTGGAGACACAGTGAGCTCTTTAAGTGGGAAAGATTCAAGTGACACTACTTACTTCTGATCTAATTGTTATCCGAGAGAGAGCATTCTAAAAAGCTTGCAGCAGCTTCTGCCTTTCAGCGAATGGAGTAAGTGGGTCACTTCTTCCCTCAGCTGGCCTGGGGGCGAGGGGAAACTGTCACTGCTAGAGCTAATGCAGCTCTTATTCAAGATGAGAGCAAGGGAGCTGCAGAGACTTGTCGCCTTGGTGTTCTTATAAGACACAAAATGAGCTCTGAAGACATTTTTATCCTGAGCGTTGTGCTGTTACACTGAAAAAATAAAAAAACCTCCTGCTTTTTCCTATGAAAAATATTTACCATACGGATTTTATAGAGGGCAGAAGCATTTCACTGCTGCAGGCCTCACAGTTGCTGAATAAAACAAAAGCAAGGGCAGTATTTCATTTGAGCTTTCTATAACATCATCTGCAAAAATACGTTTCATAGCAAGTACTGGAAAAAAAAGCTGAAGCTGGCTGGGAAGTTAGCAGCTCCTTGTTGAGCCTCGTCTGTCCTTTATTACAGTATAATGGAAGGCATTTACTGTTCTAGGAGGCATGTGTGATTTTAACATTCCTCCCCCCACACAACTCTCCCTTCAAAATTGCCCTGTAAGGACATGAAGCAGTGGACACTCACTGCCACGTGTCCAGGGCAAAATGAGCGTCACAGCCCTTTTCTCTTTAGAAAAGCTCTACAGTGATGGCAGCATCGCAGAACTCATGCTGCCTGCTCCCACTTATCATCTTCTCATGGGAGAGTTAAGATGAAAGCCAGGGTCTCTATCCTGGGCACTGTGAAGCAGTGCCACGCATATGAACGCTTGGATACCATTCAGAAAATGGAGCTACTCACGCAAAAGCAAAATGGAAATCAGAGCTTTTTCTTTTTTATGCTTTTGCTCTGTTTAAAGACGGCTCTGCGTTATCTGATTAATAATAATGTTTGCTTATCTTTGCCTTACTATTGCAAGTGTAGCTTCTTCCAGAAACTAACAGAAGAGGATGAATATAAACCCCAGCTCTCTGGTGTGACTTCTGTGGTAGATGCCTATTAGCAGTGCTGTTTAATACATCCATGCTGTAGTGTAATTCATGGGCTGTGGAAAGCACGTACCTGTATTATTTCTTGCCCTTCAGGTGTTTCATAAGCAACAACCGGAGCTGCCTGTTGTGAGGAGCCAGCCCTGCTAGGCATCATTAGTGGCTCCTCAGGGAGGAACACGTGCAGCCTGGGGTGCAGTCCTGAGGTGAGTGCTGGCACTGTTCGTAGCTTCAGACAGCTGATGGGAAGAGAAATACTTAGGGTAATTTAAGGCCTAGGCTTCATTACTAGCTAGGGGAGAAGGCAGCTTAACTTCTCCAGAAGTGTAACCCCTCTCCCTACAGATTTGCTGTGAAATGTAGGCATGCAAGTTTGAGAAACACCACTTGCTATGAAAGTGGCTGTGACAATTAGTAAGGTTAGGACTGTGGACCAGGAGGAAGGTCTGGAAGCGATAGTATCATCCACTTACACTAACGAAATGTAAAAGATGGCAGTACAGGATATTTTCTTTTCCAAAGGACTTTTATTATTAAACAACTGGAACATTTACAAGTTACAGTGGGCCTTCTGCAGTATGGAAATACTGCTTTATTTGCTTTGCCGAGTCTCCAAACTATCTACATGTCAGACCAACTCCAATTATTGGTTTTCTCCTTTCCCTTCCCCACGTCCTGGCACAGTGGCACGTATACAATCCACATATTCAATACCCATGTCACACACAACAGCTACCACCCTACCCCACCTCTGTCATGGCCTATGATCTGGGCCACAGAAAGAGGACCTGTAAGTGCTCCTGAGTGCTGCTGCTGTGCAATTTCAAGTCAGGTACAGGATTACCAGCTTCTCACAATAAATAAAATTTGTTTTCTAACAGGTTCCAGTGTAGATCTAGGTTCTGAAGATAAATAAAAGGAAGTCTTTCAAAATGAAGATTGGCCTTTTACTGAAACTGCAAGATGGACAAGGATATCAATTTAAACCATTTATAAAGGTAATACTTGAAGCAGACAAGAAAACACTCCTTGTTAGGTGTGTATTCTGGAGGGAAGCACAGCATGTTCACCTACAGAGCATCTGTGTGATGGACTCATGCGCATTCGTTGGAAAAGTGAGGATGTCACTACAGGATGTGCTGCAGTTAGCCCCTGTTTCCTCATTCGCTGGAGGGGGCCTTGCTTACACTGTGCTGTTACCCCTTCAATTTCAATATAGTCTTCCTCTTAAGTCGTGTGGAAATAAGAAGGCTACGCCAATATGATGTTAGATTTGTTCATGTCTACACCTTGTTTAGCTTCCTTCATCTGCAACAGAAAAGGACTTAACAGAATCTGAGAAGTCAAGCTTTGTTCCCTTTGGTACCGGCACAAGCTTAACATCAAATAAACAAAATTAGCATGCTGCCAGGGCAAACTGTTTTACATACGCACATTTAACTTTAAATACTCAGGCCTCCGCATTCATTAGAGGATTATACTCTTAGCACAGGGGTTAGTGAAAGGATAAAGCTCATTTCCCTTCCAGTTTTCAAATCTGAGTACAGAAAGACCATCATTACAAGAACACTGACTCCATTCTTCCTCCTTCAGAGGCCATGGATGAATGAGCTCTGAAGGGTAAGTGTAATTCCAAACAAGTGCCTAAAAGAATGTTTAGTCAACGGTACTTCCTCATCCTTAATAGCTTCTAGCCTCAGAAGTTTTCAGTAACACAAAACAACGGTGAATTAACATATGGCAATATCGGGTGGCATTCCAACCAATTATAACAGTCTGTCAGGGTCTTGGTTAAAACTAAAGTCACACACCAACGACAGGTGATCTGAAGGGTAATTGAATGAGGGCAGCCTGTTGGGCCCAATTTGCTCTTCAGTCAGCAAGCCTAGGGCTGAGTTCACATTCAAGGCATGCTGGGAATACCAGATATAATCCAGTGTATGCCGGCACTCTCCTGAGGGCCGAATCTTCCAGGTGGTGTACGGGGGCTCTGACTGCCCGTCGGGGCTCAGCAGCTTGTACGCGCTGTTTAAGTTGAGGCTGGAGTTGGAGAATTCTCTGTAGACCTCCTCGGTCGGCTCCGCATTGAAGTCTCCGCAGATGATCAGAGGGATCTTTGCACCCTGGGTGATGCTCTTCAGGTTCTGGAGCAGGTCGCAGCCCTGCGCAGAGCGGAACCTCTCCCAGCCAGTACGAGCCTTCAGGTGGGTGACGGCGATGCAGAACAGTCTTCCAGTTTCACTGCACTTCAGTGTCTGAGCTATGGCTACTTGGTTGGTCTTCAGTTTCATGGCGGTGAGCCGGATGTTTGCGCTGTTGATGAGCTCGAAGCGTTCTTTGAGGAAAAACAAGGCACAGCCGTCCGGCCCGTTGTTCTGCTCCACATCCAGGCACGGCGACCACGGCTTCGGGAAGAAAGTGCACTGATAGCCCAGTCGGCTCAGGAGTGGCTCGAAGGTGTCAAAGTAGTGGTCGACTTCTTGCAGGCACAAGATATCCGGCTTGTAGGCAAGGATTTCCTCCAGGATGAGGCACTTCCTCTCCTCCCATTTCAGAGCTTCCATGGGGCACTGGACGAAGTTGTCTTTGCCTTCTCCAAGAGCTGAAATGAGTGGTGTGAAAGAAGGAAGTTAGCAGTGGCAAAAGTAACTCAGATTAGAGACTTCTTCCCCTTCTTCTCAAAGGTCACCACACTGTCTTCCACCTGTGGCTGCCACAGCTTACCTGAGACAAAATGCAGCACTGCAGGGGTTACTTAAGTAGAGAATAGAAGGGTAGTTCTTACGCACAGGATTGCCCTCTCCCACCCCAAAGGTGAGGCTGTTGCATAATTCAACTCACAGTCCTGACTTCAGGGCTCTGAGAAAAATCAATAGCGATTATTTGGAAGAACTAAGAATTCCTGTAACCCACCTGAATCCCCAAACAGTTCAGCAATGCACCAATTACACCTGAATCCCCAAATAGTTCAGCGATGCACCAATTAGAAAACAGAAGAGCTTTACAAAGAATCTTACAGAGATGGGTCTCTGTTCTGGGAGCTGACAACTAAAAGTGACAGGCATGTCTTTTTTGGACACAGCATGTTCTAAGACAGGCATTCAGAGCAACTTCTGGATTCAGAGATGGCAGAAGAGGGAGACCTTTTTTCTTTCCTTCTGAACGGAAAACAAGTTGCCGTTTCAGGTGCTTAAAATTTCCCCCTATCAGCTGGGCCTCGCATCATTCATCTCTCTCCCTTAATCCTGTCAGCCCCAGACTTGTCTACCTGCACAGACACACCTGCATTTTAAACTACTTGCTGCATTTGGCCTTCAGGTTCCAACTCGAGCTCCTACCTTGGGCGAGGATGTTCCACTGCATGACCCGGATGGGGCGGTGGTTACTGGCTGTGTTTTTCTTCAGGTCCACAAAGTTCCTCTGGAAGCGAGGTGGTCGTTTTTGCAGAACGAGCTGGCATTCCTCCAGCAGGTCCTTGGGGTCTATGGGCTCCAGCTGAGCTGAGTCAGGCTGCTCCAGGCAGTCCTGGTGCTGGGACACGGCACTGCTGCTCAGCGTCTTGGCGAGCGCGCTGTAGAGCCGGCTGGTGCTGTTTCCCATGGAACAAGCTGCAGAGGGAAATCTGGCATGAGCGATGTTCATATGCCTTATACACAATCTCGTTACGCATGAGTAACGTGGGGTTTGTGCAGGAACTTGCTCCCAAGACAAAACAGAGGTGCAGAGATAGGGATTAGCTCTGCTCACGGTCCCGTCTCGTTTTGCTTGTTACCGGGTGCCGCAACTGCTGTAGCATGCAAACCCTCTCGGTTAAGACAGTTTGCAGGCATCCCTTAAGGGGAGAAAGGAGGCTTTCATTCAGAAGGAGGGCTATGATTAACTTCTGCACGCTTTGTGGAAAGCAAAACAAAGTGTACTTTTCCCCTCCTCACCGAGGAGAGCCCAGCAGGTAAACAGACGCTGCCTGCTCCCTGTTCCATGCACAGCGTTAACGAAGGCAACGAGCTGCACAGCCCAGTGCCCTGTTCCCAGTGTGGATGACTGAAGGCCCATGGAGCAGCAGTTAGCTGACTCTCTGCTTCAGGTTAATATTTGATAGCAACGTCCTTCTAGGATTTTATTCCCCCTTACAGCAGCAACTTTCCCTGAGTGTTTCAGCAAGCTCACAGCTTGGGGTGGGGAGAGGAGACACAGTTCACAGCACTGCTTTCTGTGTGGGCTGGTGACAGGCATGTGGCAGGGCCAGGCCTGGCGGGAGGCGAAGAAGCAGGACAGGAGCCTGAGCAGCTCAGGGAATGAGGGGAGGCAGATAAATGAGCAGGAGACTCATGGACTTGTAAAACAGGTGCTTTTAAATGTGCTAAAAAAAAAATACTTAGGTGTTCCAGATGTGTAAGCTAATGGAATAGTGCCTCTACTATGCTCAGTTAGGGGTTGCTTAGCGCTGCTTGAAGGCAGTAAGTTAGGAAGAGAAATTGGACATAGGAAATCCTCCATCCTCACCCCATCTCCATCCCTAGTGAGGTACCAGGAGCTCACCAGGTTAAGAGGTGAGCTTCTAAGGGACTGCTTACAGCACTTCAATTCCAGAGATTTGGTCAGTTCAAACTATTGTCCAGAAGCCGAGCACAAGCAGAAGAGATACCACTTAATGGCCAGGGAACGGGGCACAGCCATGAAGCCCCTGAGCAGGACCCCAACGCTGCTGTGTGGGGAAGGGGAGCGCACCAGGAAACACTCTCTCGAGGTTGTCCTTGAGCAGCAGGGGTTGAGCACAGACAGCTTCCACGCTGTGATGTTGCAATGGGAAATGCCAGCTCAGCACCGCCTGCAGTTACTCAGTGAGTGCGTAGAAGAGGAAGGAAGAAAAAGGGACAAGAGGGCACCTTCTCAGCCGAGGTGTGGTCTCAGCCTTTCGAAGAACACAGCACAAAGTCCAAGGCTTTTTCTGTCACCTAATGACAGGACCGTGTTCTTTATTGTGAAGGCTCTGCTTCGTAGCCAAGGGCCGCGGGACAGCTGTCCTAGTGAAGCAGAAAGCACTGCCATACCTCCCGCCCCAACCCCAGTGCTCGCTGTCCTGGTGTGACACACTGGCTGCCCGCTGTCCCACTATGCGTGCAGCCCTTGCTGCCGCTTGCCGTTCAAGCCTTGATTTTGGCAGCGTGCGGGAACGGCACGGTGGGACTCGGCGCCAGCCACAGCCAGAGCTGAAACCTTGCCCGAGTGACACTTTACAGGCCCGGTCAGGCGACGGCTTTAGCGTCGGGCTCTGACCTCGTGTCAGGACACGGGGCCTGCCAGGGGAGCGACCTCGGGCAGCTTTCGCACCCGGGGCCGCGAGGCCGGGCTCTCGCGTTTCGAGCGCGGCACGGCCACCGGCACGCACGGGACCTCGACCGCCACCCGCGCTCGACCGCAGCCGGCCGCGCCGTGCCCAGCGCCCCGCCTCGGCGCGTCACACCGGTGCGCAGCACGGCTCTGACAGCGGAGCTCCTAGAGCACCGGAGAGCCGGAACCAACCAACGGGGGGCTCGGCTCCGCCCAGCGCCGCCACTCGGGGACTAGGGCAGACCCGGGCCGCGCCCCCACGCCCCTCGGTCCCGGCCGGCCGCAAGAGATCCCTCTCCCCCCACCTCTCCCTGCACCCACCTGCGGGGGGCGGCGCGGCCCCCGCTGCAGCCCACAGGGCTGCGGGACCGAGGGCCGGCGGACGGCGAGGCCGCAGGGGGGGCGAGGCGGCGGCGGGCGCGCGGCGAAAGGCGGGCAGCGCCGAGCAGAGGCAGCGCGCGGGACCCTGGTACATGCTACCGGCGGGGCGGCTACAGCAGCAGCTCCGCGCCCGCCCCGCGGCGGCGCTTTTACGGGCGGCGGCGACGGAGCGTCCGGCACCTACCAGCTCCGCCTGGCGGGGGAGCGCCGCGCGGGCCAGCCCCACGTTCCCCGCCGAGCTCGGGGCTCGGACCGCCGGTGGGATCTCCCCGGTAGCGTTCCGGGACTCTCGATGCCGCGGACGTGGCCGCGTGGCGCGGGGTCGCCCCGTGCCGATCGCCTCGTTCCCCCCGCGCGGCTGCGAAGTGGGCTCGCCCGGTGGAGGCGTCGCCGCGGAACCCGCCGTGACGGCAGCGGCAACGCGTGACGTCCGAGCGCGGGGGGCGGTGCTGCCCACGTATTAGGCGTGGCGCTGCGAGGCGGCGTGCGGAGTGAGGGGTTGTGCGCTTGTTTGGCGCTGCGCTTGACTGAGAGCGACCGCGTGCCGGTTCGCCTCCGTAACGCTTACACTGCGCCGTGAGCGTGTAAGTGTTAGAGGTATGAAGTTAGCATTCCGCCGGCTTTTTTGTTTCCCTGTAGCCTATCCTCTGTCTCCTTTCCCTGAAGGGCGGATGCTCTCTGAACACGAAGCTGTTTTCCCCACCGACTGCTTTGCGCTAGAGCCGGGCGGGCTGTGCTCCCAGGTGCGAACATGTGCTTTGGCTGCTGTGTTGTAGAGTGACGCGGCTCGCTGGCCAGGAATGGGAAATACGAGTTCTCCTGGAAATGCACAGAGTGTGCTGTTCATTTAGGGTACGTGTGACTCAGCTTCCCAAAACATCTCGCGTCTCTTCCTCTTGGTTGCCGTGGGGTGCCTGGCTCTATTTCTGCAGCCCCAGGGATTCCCGTGCTGTCTGCAGCCTGTATCCTGAGAGAAAGCAGTAGGATTCTCACAGTTTAGGTCGTTGAGCAGCACTTAGGCATTGGCTTCTGGGCACCTGCGGGACTTTGGGTGTGGTTTTGGGAGGCCTGCAGGCAGGCTGGGGGCTATTTGGGCACGGCAGGGCTGTTGTGTTGTGCTGACCTGATGAAATTCCACTACGTGCCAGTTTTTGGAGAGGCAGTAAGGTTGGAGTGGCCCATGGGGAAGGCAGTAGAATGGGTGCTGTGACAGGGCCAGGTTTTGTTTGTGGCCAGTGCTTTCCCTTGCAGGATAGCAGTGGTGGAGGTGCTGGCCCTGCAGTATGCAGGGCTCACGGTGGCCACACGCTCAATGGCACACAGAGATATAGGGCTGGGGTTGCCCCAGGCAAGGAGAGCATCTTGGGGATGACGGTTTCATGCACTTCCATAAGCATTTGTGGAAGCCCTCCTGTAAATGGTGAGCAAGGTATTTATGTACTGAGTAACACTGCTGCCTGGCTCCCCTTGAGAAGCAAGGTGCTGACCGGGGCCTGCCACAGCTGAGGTGGGAAGGCCAGGAGGGATCCAGAGCCTCGGTAGAAATAACCTCCAGAGTGCTAACGTTCCAACTGGGGAATAACCTCGGCTTTTCACGCTTTATTCCCTCAGTTTCACGGTGCCCTGGTGTCTTGGTGACCGACCTCTCCAGTGGTTGGGTTCCAGCTGGCACGTTCCTCACAGAGGTGGTGTTGGCAGCTGGGCAGCTCTGGACTTTCCCCGAGGGAGTGCTGGTCCATGTGCGGTGATTGGGCTGCCTCAGAGGCAGGGCTGCTGCCGCTCCCACATCCGTCCCACTGTCTGTGTGCCTGCTCAGAGTGCAGCCCATCCAGTGCCACCTGTCCCTGTGGTTATGTAAGTGCTTGGTGCCAGCTTGTGCCTGCTGAGTGCCAGGGGTGAATGTTCAATTCCCGCCACACTTGACTTGTGCCAAGCCCAGGGTGTGCAAAAGCCTCTCTGCTTGGAATGAAGTGTGTATGCCACAAACGGTTGTATTTATAGCAGATTCCTCTGAGGTGCCTATCTGTGTTGCATCAAACACAGAATGGCAGGCTCTCAGTTGTAGGGCAGATTTGCAAGGTGTAGAGAGCTCTCTCTGCGCTCCTGTTTCTTCTGTGTGAGTGACTCTCAGGGCTCATCCACTAGCTTTCTTCCCCATTTGTTTCCACCGAAGTAGTCTCTTATTAGCACATATGTGCTTGAGTTTGGGTGAGCCTGCTGACTTTTTTTTTGGTAGAGCAGCTGGGCTTTATGAGTTCATGATATTCTCATTGTTTTCTTTAAAAGGTATTCTGATTTTTCTTTTTTATTTCAGGGATATTATGATATTTGTATGGCCTCTTAGGAACAGGCTTTCATTAGCTGCGATTCCAGAAGGGAATTGACAGAGGAAGGCAAAGCTAGAAGCTGATCTTGATGTACCTGACTGTGAAGTGAAAACCAAATCCACCTGTTGGCACATGGGAATCCCTCTCCCACAATCCCACCGAAGTTTCCCAGCCAGAAGAGAAATGTGTGACACAGCAGCATTGGCTTTTTGGTATGAAGCAGTGATGCGCCCACTGCTGACAAAAAGTAGGTAGGAAAAGAGCTGTGTGATAGGTTCAGGGATGTGATTTATTTAAAATAGCATGTTAGGAGGTTGCAATACAGTGGACAGACCAGAAACAGCTTTGATCAGGTTATCCTTCTTAGGGAAACAGGGACTATGAAAGTCCTTTGACCACGGCCTTGGCATGATAGAATTATAGAATGGCCTGGGTTGAAAGGGACCACAATGATCTAGTTTGAACCCCCCTGCTATGTGCAGGGTTACCAACCACCAGACCAGGCTGCCCAGAGCCACATCCAGCCTGGCCTTGAATGCCTCCAGGGGTGGGGCATCCACAACCTCCTTGGGCAACCTGTTCCAGTGCGTCGCCACTCTCACTGTGGAAAAGCTTCCTCCTAACATCTAACCTAAACCTCCCTCATCTCTATTTAAAACCATTCCCCCTTGTCCTGTCACTATCTGCCCTCATAAACAGCCATTCCCTCTCCTGTTTATACACTCCCTTCAAATACAGGAAGGCCACAATGAGGTCTCCCCTGAGCCTTCACTTCTCTGAGCTAAACAAGCCCAGTTCCCTCAACCTTTCCTCACAGGAGAGGTGCTCCAGCCTCTGATCATCTTAGTGGTCCTTCTCTGGACCTGTTCCAAGAGTTCCACATCTTTCTTGTGCAGGGCGCCCTAGGCCTGGGTGCAGTATTCCAGATGGGTCTTCACTCCAGGTAAGACCTTGTTTAGGGCTCAATTTGAGGTGGGACAGCAGCCAGTGCCCTCAGGAGAGCAGTGAGCCCCAGGTACTTGAAGGTGGCACAGGGGCCCCCACAGGTGTGGGGGTTTTGGCTCCCGGGGGGCTTTTGCTGAAGTAATAGCCTTCATAGGGTATGTGGGATAGGGAGATGTGATGGAGGGACCCTCCTGTTTTGATCGCATGTGGAAATACCTTGTGGAAGGTTAAGCAGGGGTGCTCAGTGACCTGGTCTGGCAATGACGTGGCATGGAGCAAACCCGTGGACCAGAAAACATACTTTGTGAGCTTGGTGAAACTGGGGTAGTTGATCATTGCTGGCTTCGGGAAGTCTGATAGCGCGTCTTGTGGGGAGATCACCGCTCAGCACAGCCTCCTGCAGGGCTGTGTGGGGCCCAAGGGCGAGCACAGTCAGGGTTTTTTTCTGGTGAGGGGATTTTGTACTCAAGTCCAGGCTCCCACTGCCTGCTAGCACTTGGCCTTTGTGCTCACTGGGGTGGGTGTATGCAGGAATTAAAGCACATTCACAGCCACAGACCTGAACCCTATCCAGCTGCTGCTGGTTGGAGCAGCCAACCGTCACCTTGTCCCATAACCATCTGCAGTGGCAATTCTGGCTTTTCTGGCAAACACAGGAAATTGCAGTTCCACTGTACTTAGGCACTGTCACACCACTGTGAGATGCAGTGACTTCTCTCCTCTTAAAGGCAACTTCACCTATCACCTTAATTTGAATGTTCAAGAATGAACATAAAGGCCAGCTCCAATCCTTCAGTCCTAATTGTTAGCAGTTACACTGAGGTGAGAGGAAATGCATATGGAAAAAGCCACCTCTCCCTGGCTCTTACAAGATCTGTTTTTTTCTCACAGGTCCCTATACAGGCAGGCTTGCTGGGCCTGGTTGTGCACTGTGTCTTTGCTTGGACCATCGGGCTGGTCCCTATCGCACCAGGCTGCCCAGAGGGGCTTCCTGCAATCCCAGCATCCCTGTTGGATATGCAAGGCTCAAATTATAGCCATCACCCATGGATTTGAAAGTGGTCAGCCTTAGCATCCATCTCCATGCAGCTGCAAGGGTAGGCTAGCTTTGGCTCCATGGCTCTGTGTCTTACTTGTGTTGGGATCCCCAGGCTTGGACACTGGTGTCGTGAGGGCAGTGTAGAGGGGGGGACAATCCTCTCTCTCTCCCTGCTACTCGCTCCTCTTGATGCAGCCCTGAATACTGTTGGCCTTCTGGGTTGCATGAGCACACTTAGCCCTTTTATTCTGCTATGTCACGAGATTATGGGTGTAAGGGTGAAGGGTGCTGGCTGCATCTGTACCACCAGCTGTGCAGGGCATCTTCTCTGCCTGGTTATCTGCTGTTTCTTCTGGCCAAGTGTAGGTATGAGGCAGTTTTTACTGTCTGTATTTGCCTCCGTGCTTATGTTGTCTTATCTGCAAAGAGTAAACAGTGCTTGAGCAGCACAGTATCGTTCTTCCCTCTCTTTTTCCTCTAGATTTTTAATCAGTTCCAGGGATGCTGCCACCAGCTAGTTATGGCAGTAATAAACTGTGCTTTAGGCAGACTGGATAACAAGGCAAACCTGGCTTCTGCTGCTTTTTATTTACATTTTGGTGTGAATTCAGTGTTGCAGATGTCCTCTCAGTTATAGAATTTGCTTCCTTCAAGATTTTAACTTGGAACGGAATGTTGAGAGCTGTGCTTTGGGAATACTGCTTCTTTTCAGATTGACAGGCATTGCAGCTTATTAACACACTGCCCGTGCCAGACCTGCCTCTATTTCACTCTGTGGCCATTTTTTTCTCTTCCTTAAGGGATGACACATACACACCCTTGGACATTCTGCTGTTTTCTTGTGCTTTTGGAGCTCAATAATAGAAGTAGGAAGGGATGAGGTGCTCTCATCCAGCTCCTTGTAGTTGAATACTATGAAATTTGGGAATGGTCAGTGCTGGCACCTGTGGGTAGACCATGTGTGAATGGTGATGATGGGCTCCCTGGGAAGTACGATTGCCACAGCAGCCCCAAATTCCTCTTGGGGCTCTTCACAGGGTTCAATTAGACCCCAAGAAAAATGGGAAAAGCAGCTCCCTGTCAGATGATTATCAGTTAAAGCTTCTGAAAACGTGCCTGGATTGCCCATGGGTGAAAATACTGGGTGGCGAGGAAGCCAGCAGCCACAAGTGGAGATGGAGATCACTCTTCGTAAAACAGTCAAAGGAAACTGAGCAATCCTTGTGTGGTTTGGAATGTACAATCAAAGGGAAAGCTGCCATTTTGACTGGAGGTGCAAAATTGCCTGGGTGTTTTTACTTTTTACGTGTCTGTGTAGAGCAGGGTTTCTCTGCTATTTGAAGAGAAGGAAAACACGGAAAGGAGAGGACATAGAGAGGAAGGAAAATCCGGCTTTTGTTACTGCTTAATATTCTGCTCGCCACATTAGCAAACAGCACTGTTTGTTCCAAAGCTGCTCTCCCATGTGTGCGAGGCCTCCCTGGGGATACAGCAAGGCACCGCTGCTGGCAGCTGGAGTCTGGCTGAGCTCCTGGCTCTTCTGCATCCTTCCTCCGTTCTCTCGGGATCCAATTTGTTTGCTGCCTGTTTAGCCACCTGAACTGCAAAATGGGACGCTTCGTTTTGTAGGGGATGGAGAAAGTTTGTAAACAGAAAGGCGTGCTGTTATCTCACTGGCAGTCTTCAGGAGATTTTGGAACTTTGCTCCCATCTAGGAGCCTTCTGCAGCCGTCCGCCCTTCTGCCCCCTCTGCCGATGAGTGAGTGAAGTTTTGGTGTGTCCTTCATGGCAGTGGCTCCTTAATACCCATCGAGATTTTGGCAGATCTCTCTGTCTCCTGGCGTTTCTCTGTTCTCTTATCTTGTTCACGAAACTGTATTATGTGAGACAAAAATCATTTGTTGGAGAGGAAGGGACATTGTACTCAATGGGATATTTACTGCATACTCGAGCTATAATCTATCCTCTGCAGTAATACAGAGTCCAGAATGAATGGGTATTTATTTATAATAATACAGCAGACAGTCCATAGGGAGGTGTCATCCTGTTTGTAATCAATCCCGGTGCGCTGCTCTGGCTGCAGCACAATAATGCTTTGCATTAAGTGATGAATTGGTTTAGTTGCCTTATTGCGGCTGTCATTTTTCTCCACCGAAGATGCATTGCCTCCATTATGCAACTCTTGTCGCTGAGCATCAAATATCCACTCTTGACTCTTGAAAGGCAGCCCTGGGGTGGTGTGTGGGGAGGGAGGAACGTGGCACCAGCACCGCTCCAATGGGCAGCGGTGGGTCCAGGTGGGCAGCTGGGCACTGCAGATTTGTTCTGCCAAAATGGATTGTTATTGAACTAACATTGTGCTCCTGGATTGATTTCAACTCTAAACCTGATGACAAGAGCGGATGTTTTACTGCCAGAGAAATAGACCATCCATGATATCGAATAAGAGAGATATATTTTAGAAGAGAAATTCTTGCTGTGCTGGGAAGAACAATAACAGAACTTCTATTAAAAGGACTGAATTTGGGTGCTGCAGAGATGCAATCAGTATTTCTGTGTCATGACTGTTACCATCGCTGCACATTGCTCAGCAGCTCATGAATGAGATGCCAGGAAAGTAATAGCCTGCTTTGTGAAAGACAGCATGGAAAATGCAGCTATGCAGGCTAAAGGCCATCCTGGCTGGAGCTGGCTGCTCTACCAGGCAAAGCTGCCTGCAGAGTGAGGGCCAGGCTTTGCCTCCCAGGGCAATCCAGGGTGGGTGAGGGTGCAGGGCTTGCCTGTTTTCCTTGGTCCGGCTTCCTTTTCCTCCCAGTCTTGGCCGAGCCCAAGACATCCCTGGTGCTGCCACAGGTGGGTGACCTGCCCAAGACTCTTGTCCAATGGATCTGGACATTAGGATGTCCTTCAGTGCAGGGTAGGCTGTGCTGCCCCTGTGTGTGTTGAGCTGTCCCTGGAGCCTCAAGGGCTTTGAAAGCTGAGAGGGCGGGGTGGGCAGACAAAACAGGTCTGCGTTTGGTCCTTTCTGCTCCCAAGGCAACTTCTCTGGGCAGTCTGCTCCAGGGCCTCATCACCTTTGTTTAGTTTAAACCATTTCTCCTCGTCCTGTCACTACTTACCCTTGTAAAAGGCCTCTCTCTATCATTCTCATACGCTAGGGAGGAAGGGACAGTTTTGAAAGAGGCTTGAGAATATCCGTGCATCTTTTTATACGCCTTGGAACTGCTTTTCCTTCTTTTGTGGAGCACTGAAGTCAGAAAAGCCCCACCTCGGTGCAGTTACCCCTCCCCAGCGGCAGAAGCCCGTTGCAGAGCAAAGATGACAAGAAGATGCCTTAGAATTATTCTTCTGAAGTTAGAGCTCCCACTGGGAGCTGAACTGGCAGCTAGCAGGTGTAGGGGATCAGTGGGCTGGCAGTGCCAGTCCGATGTTCAACTGCCTTGTATACCTCAGGCTCAGCTGTAGCTTCACTGGGCTTGGAATAAAGTGAAGGCAGGTGTGTGTGGTGGCTGTGGGTTCAGGTATCCTCTCTGTCCTCAGGTTGCTCCTGTATGCAGCTGCCCATTGCCTCAGCCTGGGCAAAGGCTTTCTAGGTGTTCCCAAGTTCCTGCGACTCCTCTGGATGTGATGGTATTATTTCTAAACACAGGTGATGCTGTCTGAGCATGCAGCTAGAAGCCAGGGTCCTATCTTACTGCTGTGTGATGTAAATTCCTAGTAAAGCAAATGAGATTTATATCCTGCAGTAAAGAAAACAGACCCCAAGATCTTTTTTTTTGTCCTTCTGATTCCAATAGCTCTAAGAAGACCAAGAGGGCCTTTGTTTTCACTTCTCTCTGAGCTCCTTTGACTTTGCTCAGGTGCTGCCATCCACTGACCTTTCTAGGAACTAGAATTGGGGCTGCACATCCTCGTGTGCATGTTTAAATATCTGAATGTGTGTGTCTGTGTTAGATCTATTTTTCCTCTGGCTACTGTATTAGCTCATTCAGCTACAGAGCTGATCTGCCAATAATTGTGTGCTGGCCAGAGCTGTAGTGAGGGTGAGAGGCTGTGCTATGAAGTGCCTTGATGACTGTGAGCACTCTGAGACCTATGTACTTCAAGGTTTTTGAATGGAACTGAGCTCGTGGCCCTTCTTCGTGCCAGTTTGCCTGTGGCTGAGCTCAGTGCCCAGTTAAGTGCTGGTAAATGTGTGCTCACTGAGGTCTGAAGGGCTGTTGACCATGTGTCTTAGCCACACAGTGCAGTAGGTGGGTACCTGCTGGTGACCGAGAGTTGAGAGGTCTAGGATGTCTCTCTCAGACCAGAAGTTGGGGATAATGCGGGGCAGCCTTCAAGGATGCTGCAGGCAGGATCCTTGATATGTTGGTCCTTCTTCCTTGACTCCGAGCACTGGAGAGGATGGCTGCCCATCAGACTGGCTTTTGCTGCTGGGATTTTCACCTTTGAACACTTGTTTTACGGTCTAACAGCACTCTTATAAATTCATAGAATGGCTTGTGTTGGAAAGGACCTTAAAGACCATCTAACTACAACCCCCTACTGTGGGCACGGCTGCCCCCCACCAGCTCAGGCTGCCCAGAGTCCCATCCAACCTGGCCTTGAGAACCTCCGGGAAGGGGCACCCGCAGCTTCTCTGGGCAGCTGTGCTACTGCCTCAGAACCCTCTGAGTAAATGATTTCCTCTTTAACGTCCAACCTAAATTTCCCCTCTTTTAGTTTAAATCTGTTCCCTGTTGTTTTACCACCATCAGACCGTGTAAAAAGTCAGTCTCCATCTTTTTTTAAGCTCCCTTTACCTGCAGAATAGCCTAGTCCTTCTCTGAAGCACGTTGCCGTGCCATTCTGGGAATTGCTAATGGCCAAGCTGTATTTTGAACAGAGATTTATGATCACCTTCCCAGTCAATTAAAATCCTGGATATTGCTAAGGCAGAATTCAATTAAGGTTAATTGGAGCTTCTGAAAACCACTTTTCCAAAGGGAAACAATGGTGGGATTGCAGATCCTAGAGGGTTTCTATTACTTTTAAATAACTTTCAGTTCTGTTCCTCCCCGATGCTGCTGTAATCTTCCCTCAAGCCCTACGCTCGTGCTATTATCAAGCAATTCAAATGTTGATTTTTTTTTTTCTGTCATAATTTATCATTTTGACTTATTTGTTCTTTATATGTCTTCTTCTAAAGGCAGGAAAAAAATCTACAGAAGCCTGGAAATGTTTTTGTATCAGTCCCAGTGGCCTGCCATGAAAGATATATAGGCACTTGTAAGAATTTGACAACGCTTCAGCAACAATTATCCAGACAGGTACAACAACAACTCCCTTTTCTTTTGCTGTTGAGAGGGATGCTAATGCTTTAATGAATTGTCAATAAAGATTAAAAAAGAATAAAATAAACAAAGGGTAGGGAAAACAGGTGCAAATGAAATTCCATTGAAATGCAGCTCAGGTTTACCGTTCTACCCTAAATTTTATTTTCTTGGCATCAGGGACTGTTGTGACAGTTCCTCGCACACTTGATTGAACCGGGAAAACACATGGGACTGTATCTTAGTCACAGCATGCAGAACGTGCAGCTCTCAGCTCTCAGAGCAATCTCTTGGAGGGATGAATAATCATTTCAGCCATTGCTTTTGTCAGAATTTGCAACCCATTGTTTACTGTGTGGGGACTAATAACCAAATGCCTGGGAGGAATTAAAGGAGAGGGAAGCAGCAGTGTAGAAAGAGAGAGCTGCTGCAGCTTGCGGGTCTACAGCCCCGTGGCCGTGCCTTTCTCACTTACTGGCTGGGGCATTTTGTTGAACTCTGCTCTCTGCTTTGGGAGTAGATTAACGCTTCTGACTGCCCTGCGCTCGGCCGTTTAAAGGGAAGCAGAACAACTGTCGACACAAGTATTTTTGTAGAGTTTCCCTCTCTTTGTGGGAGATAAAGGGAAGCAAAGCCACGGGCAATTATTGTGTAGAAGTTAAAGGGAAAAATTGCTTTGATAAGAAATGATTGTGTAATTATACGACTGCCAAAGGAGAGGAACATGTAGGTGGATGCACTCTCTGATGTGTGATTACTAATGAATTCTCTGTATCCCTTGTGGAAAAGAGCCACAACTGTAAAATTAAATAGTCGATGCTTCTCTGATGAAAGGATTCACAGGCACTGATGTCCTTTATCAAAATACAGCGAGCTTTGAAGGAAGAGCAGGAGCAGCAAGCCTCAGCTTCAAGTACAGCAATTGGAATGGAGGAGCTCGGCCCTAGTCTTTCTCTAGGAATTTTGTGTTCCGTGTTTTTTAGGGCAGAATCATTTTGTCTGGGGAAGTGCTGGGTAAGCTGTAACCAGGCAGTGGGCAGCAGCTGAAGCTGTGGCCAGTGCAATACAGCTGGTGGGCAGGAGATAGTAGGTTTAATGTCACGCTGGATATGCGTGGACTGACACGTATGGAGACTTCGGAAACATCTTTGCTTTGAAAGGTGAAAAGTGCCATATAACTACTCAGTGAAGCGTGCATCTGCTTGACAGTCCAGGGAGCGCTCGCATGCAACTCTCTGCCTGTCTCTCTTTTCTCCTTCCCCTTTTCCTTTTCTTTCCCTTTCCTTTCCCTCTTCTGACTCTCCATATAGATACAGACTCAAACATGACCTTTTGTAAGGTAGCCTCCTTTCATGAAGTTTACTCTTTTTGGTCTTGCAGTTCATGCAGCGTGTTATTTCAGGGAGAGCTGATAGTTCTGTGTAGGAATGTAGGTCCTGACATGGAAATGGGACTCTTGAAGACCTCCAGAAAGAGGCAAAGAGGGCACAAGGGCTGCTGGGGCACTACCTGCAACACTATGGCTTTGGTGCTCTCAAATGGGAAGACACCGTGAGCACAGAGATATCCCCTGGAAAATAAAGAGGGGAAAGTAGCATCAAAGCAGTGGATACTCATCCTTGGGCTGCTCAGTGCTAGGGGTGTCTCGTGCAGGAGACATCAGGAGGGTGGGGAGGGGTTGTCTGTGGTTCTCCTGCCCTGCTATGGTGAGGTGGATGTCTTTGGCCAGCAACACTGATGTTAGTGCCCGTGGCTGTATGTAGCTTGTTGTCGGCAGCATCCCTTGCGCCTCTGTGGTGGGACATGGTGTGGAAGACTATGAGGTTCCCTGGAGAATGGGGAGTAGCTGGATATTTTTATTTGCTAAAAATAGCTGAGAAGACCTTAATACAGAGCTCTAGCCATAAAATCAGAATTTGTTCTCCCAGCTCTTATCGTCTCAGGAAACAAATTTTGCTGCAAAGCTCTTCCTGGACCTTTTTAAAGCTGTAGCATTAAATACATTAAAGGCTACTTATTTTGAATTCAGGTAGAGCTGAGACATGTTACGACTCTATAACTAAAATGGAAAACCTAGTAAAAAAAAAAACAACAGCATTTTTGCTCAGACTGAATACGACTATTGCTGTTTAGGTAGATTATTCTCAAGAGAAGATTCATGGGCTGAAAATAGTCCATTGCTGTCCACAGGGACATTGTGAAGAAGATTTAAGAGGATCTAGGTGAGCCTGGTGTCCTTGGAAAAATAATGACAGGAAGGCTAGCTAGCCCAAGGCCATCGACAGCAATCTCCTCAAACGTTAAAAAAGTGCAAAGGGCCACACAACACATACCTGAGATCGTGAAAAGAGAGGGAAATAATAGCTTGAAATAATGCTTGAATAAACAACTGGAATAAATGCGTGACTAGATGGGTGTATTTCCCTATAGATACAATGCGGGGAGTATGCCTAGCTGAGGGAAAAGCACTGCAATCTTTGCAGAGGAAGGAGTACAGGCTGGAGCCTGAGATTAGCTATGGTGAGGCTGGTGATCCGGAGTCACAAAGCCTTCCTCTTTCACTGCCTTTTGTTTTTCAGACTGGAAATGCTTTTTCATGGAGGCTTGTACTAGAGAAGCTCAGAAACGCTTCTGTCATTACAGCACATTTGTCTTGGATCATGCAGGATGTATTCGTGTGTAGCTCAAATTCCTGCTAGGTACTGAAAATGCAGGGAGATTATTTTATTATCCCTTTACTGCATGGTATATTAAAGGTTTCAAGAAAATCCAGCCAATTGATCACAGAGCATGCTGTCCTTGAAAGTTATGCTAGTCTTTCCAGTGCATTAATCAATGAGGCAACTGAAGGCAATTCCACGTTGGCATCCGATTTCACATCCACAGGTTTATAGCCAGTGCTTATATCCACGTTTATTTACATTCACCTCAGCTCCCGTGTTGAGAATTCTGTGTGTGTGTGTGTGTGTTTACATCCAGAGATGACTGAACTGTTCATTTTTTTTGCTCTACATCATAAAGGTTCAGTTTTCTTCCTTCTGCAGTCTTTGTTTCCTGGCTCTGATGATGTTTCCTTAAAGAGGATGCCGTGTGCTTGTTCTACAGCTGCCTGTGGCCATCAGGAATGGATGCACACGGAAGAATCTGGGCAAACACACATCTGTAAGTTTGTGATTTAAACAGATCACCTTTGTGTTTGTGCCTCAAAATGGTAGGCTTCCTTTTGTTATTTTGGCCTGAAAAATATGGTTATTTTGGCTGTGTTGGTAGTTAACTGCATAACATTACAAGATACCCTATTGAGAGCTGCTGTACCATTCATTTAGGCCTTGTGAGTTCATCCAGTTGTTAAGACACAAATTTGCCTGCAAGTATTTTAACCAAGAGACCAAGCAGTATTCCAGCAGTGGGCAGAAATTGGAATGTCTGTGAAAATTGGTTCAAACACAACTCTTATATACAAAGGGAGAGTTGTAAGTCCACTAAGAGGAAATTCTCTTAATTCACCAGTGCCATTACTGATAGTATTGGTCAGTGAGATCTTCCCAACTGAGAAAACTATCATAAAGAGTTGTGAAGGAAACGGAAATTGGGACTCTGCTGCTCTGTGTGAAGACAAAAAGGACTCTCATGCAAAGTACTTCACTGCACCCTGCCTTGATTTGTTTGCCTGTGGGCTGCAGACCAGGGTGTCTGCTTTCCAAGAGTATAAACAAGATATGTTTATTGCCATCTGCAACATGTGCTGAGATCCTCAGCAATTGCTATGGATGTGCACGCTACAGAAGCATCTTAATTACAGGTTAACTAAAAGTACAGTAGTGGACAAGCAAGAAAATGACCAAATATTGTCCTCACGTCTACACTAGAAGCGGATACTAGCTGACATGATTTTTGAGTACCTTCCTTCCATTAATGACTTTTAATTTCAAAGTGAAATCATTTAAACTTATCTGTTTCCTTCTTATTTATGTTGATATGATACAACTATTCTGGGTTACATCCCTTCCATGCTCATATTTGTGAATCTCCAGACTGATGAGCAATCTGATCTGGTGTTTTATTTGGTCAGCAATGCTGCCCTTGGCAGAGGGTTGGAACTAGATCATCTCCGAGGTCCCTTCCAACCCACATCATTCTGTGATTCTATGATTTTACCTGAAAAAAGAATATGATGTTACCTAGACATTTAATGATGATACTAATGAGGCAGCAATTCTTCTGTTTCTTTTTTTTCTTCCTGGATTTGGTGAGGTTATTCATTTCAGACCTTGAAAACCGAAAGAAGACAGTTGTGAACACAGCATAGTTTTGTGTCTTCTATGGCTCTTGTACTGTTTTTGTGCGTTTACATGCTCATTTAGGGCCTTTGGATTCAGTTGTGCTCCCCACAGTCTTGCTGGCATCACAGATCTTTCCTGACTAGCTGATGGCTTTTGTTAAGCACTCTGCTCCATAGCTGTTAGTATTATGTGCTTTTATGCAGCTTAGTGGAGATACATCTTGTTACTGCTTTTTCTCTTGGAAATATGTATTTAGAGGACAGTTGCTTCCAGACTTTCTGCTATTCCAATTTTTCAGCATTGCTACCCTGAAATTACACTTAACCTAGGCAAGCTTAAACAAAAAATGGAGAGAAGTGATTATCTGGACAAATCCCAAAGAGAACCCAGCTGCAGAATTGCAAGCCCAACCACACAGGAGTTACAGGGACGTGGTCTCCCAGAGCTGGGCTCGGCACTGCCTCTCACCTACTGCCTGCCCCTGAGCATCTCGCCTGGGCGATGGTCCCAAACCGGAGCATTTATGTTTCTCCCCATAACTGTCCAGCTTTACAGCCGCTTCTTTGCTGCACCATCTGCCAGAGGCAGAGCTGGCCTCTTGCTTTCTGCCGCCCTAGCGGTGGGTTCCCCATCCCGCCCAGCGCTGGGCTTTGGGCTCGGAGCAAAGCCGCGGAAAAGCCAGCGCCGTGCAGACTGCAACAAGAGCCATTAGATGGCAGCAAAGCCTTTCGGAAAGGGCAGTGGGGGAAGCGTTTGTGCAGGGAGCTCGGAGAGCCTCGTACAAAAGGGACCCTGGTCGTAAATCCGGCGTGCAACAAGGGGTTCATCGTGTGTCCTGCAGAGTGCGTGTCGTACCGCTCCCCAAACCCGCTGTTATTTGCGATAGAGACGACCCTTTCTTTCCTTTTTTCTTTTCTTCCCTCCTCCTTTCCTCCCGGCTTGTTTTAAGTGCATAGCGTATTCCCGCTGTTTAATTTCCTTTCCGAGAAATGCCTATCCTAAGCCTTTAATGTGAGCTGACCGAGACACCTGTGTGATGTTTGTGGGGCAGTGCAGGGATGATGGCACACGGGGCTGCTGATCTATAAGGTGCAGTTCTGGCAGGCTGGACAGAGAGCCTTGTTTCTTGCCTAAAAAGGAACATTACCCTTGTCAAAAATGTATTTGTGCTGAGCCACTTGAGACAGAGTGGCCAGGCACAGAAAGGGATTTTGCAGAGGTTGGCTTCATTATGGCAAAATAGTCAAGGAGGAAAGGGAAACATGATTTTGGCTTGTTTTGTCATCATCCGTTGCTCTCAGGTAAGAATTTGGATATAAAAAACAGGTGGGAAGAGGGACAGAAATTATTTTCTGCCACGCAGTGACATTGTATATTCCCCTGATAATAATGTAATAAGAAAAGAATTACTGATTCTCATGAAGGTGAAGAAAAGCAGACTTATACCTGCCACGCACCCACACTTCAGCCTGTTCCTATCACTGGCATTATGCTTTGTGCATTCTTCTCAGCAGCAGTAATGAAAAATAGGTTAAAAGCCATCAGTGATATTTCCTCCTTTCATCCTACACGAGAATGGTGTGAAATGCAGCGTTATACATGATTTCCTTGAAAACAGCCTTTCTAAAAGCATTGCTTACAGTTCGGGATTTGGGAGCTGCCGTGCAGGGAGGCAATTTTAGATTCTTGAAGCTGGTTCTGTGAACTGCTGTCGGTGGAGCTGGTGAGGGAATGTATGCAAAGGCCGTCACCGTTTCAAATGTGCTAATGGACAAAATGAATGAGAGAAAACAGTAAAAGCTTTGGCTTGCACAGCCACCCAGGAGCATTCCTTGTTATCAGCGTGTGCTGCCTTAGATCTGAAATGCAGAGACGGGAATCTCATCAAAAGAAGCTGATCCAAGGCATTGTCATACCTGCAGCACTGCTGGCGTAGTGGGCTGTTGGTGGCTGTCCTCTACTGTAAGACCAGCCAGTCATACTTCGCTTCTAGAGTTTGGGACAAGGACAGAAGAGTCTCTCCTCACTCAGATTGCTCTCAACCCAAACCCCTGGGTTTTAGCTGGGCTGAAAGCATAACTGTGGCGCCACTGTTTTTGGAGTGTTTTGAGGGCTGAAGTTTACGAGTAGAATTGTTGAGGCTGGGACAATTGTAATGTTATTCCCTTCTCTGTTTTGTGCTAGTACTTAATTTTCCCTACCTGACACTGTTATATGTTTTTTTTCCAGGATTCTGTAACTCTTGGTGTTTGTTTTTCCTGTGAGAGAGTTGCCTGGAAAGAAGATGTACGGAGGAGAATTTACCAAGTCTTATTCAAAAGGTAGCCATTTCAGGATTCAGTGTTACTGGGAGAATGTGCAAGGGAGATTTGTGTGGACAGTCCTTTCCTGAATGCCTTATCAAGAGCCGGTGCCATTGTTTATACTGACTTCAGCTCATCATAAACTTTGGGGTAGGAATTGTCTTATGGCCCCGGTTAGTTCTAGTTATCTGGATTTGAATTTCTGAGTGTATTCTTTGTTTTAACAGCACACAGTAAGAGTCTAGGGCCAAGTCCTACCCTCAGTTCCTCCCAAGCAACGCTGTATCTTGACTAATGTATTTAACTTGATTTGCCTTTAGGAATGTTATCTTGGAAGCCTTAAACTTGAATTTGTGCTGTGACACTGGAGGATAGGAAGGGGGATAAGTTCACTTTATAGCCTCTTTTTTTCTCCTCCATCCTGCCCTTCTTGAGCCTTTCTGTGATGTGTAAGTGCAGGGTCTAGGAGGGCCCTTGGGCCGCCCCTTTGGTTGCATTGACCCAGCTGTGGGTTCCCCCTCAGAGAGTTCTGGTAGATGTCTTTTGTCAGTCTGACTCAGTCCCTTGACAGAGCCTCACTGCTGAAGGGCACTCGGGGAGCCTGGGCATCAGCTTTCCAGCTCCCTGCAGCCCTGTGCAAGAACACGAGCCTGAAGTCATGTGGCAACCAAGAATCCTTCGGATTTCACCTCCTTTTCCCTCTGTTCCTGGCAGGTCTTCTGCTTCTTTTTATAATTGGAGATACTATTCTCTGTGGATAACACCTACCCACTCTGCCTGCAGGCCAGTAGGTATCGTATAATGTTACTTTCCTGCTACCTGAGTTTATGATTGACAGAAGCTTTAGCTTTTTTTGAGCTTGACATGCAGTTTGTCCCCAAACCATTTGCGATGTTCTAGAAAAAAATTTCCCTTCTTTTTTTAGACACTTTCAAAGTCTTTTGGTGTGCTGGAATTGATTGGGAAGCAAGGATTGCAGGGCCACATTGTTTTTAGAGCCCATGGTCGGGTCTTTGACCTTGTAGCAGGAGGCAGCTGGTAAGGAATACTTCTTGAGAAATCCATTTGCTAACATGTCAGGGTGCTCTCTGTGCTACCAAAAGTGAGATGGGCATGAGTTCTGTGTCTAGCTATTGCTCCCCTAAGTTAATGTCACAGAGCATTATCAGTTGTGTAGAACTGCATCATTCTTGCTTGCTGGTGTCTTTCTTGATCTCCTTTCACTGATTTCATACTTGGGTACACATTTCCTGTGCTATTATTCTGGAAACCGTGTGCATAAAGAACGTGAAGTACTTCACAGCTCTCTGACTACCAAGAAAAAAGTCCTCCATGGCTCCGTTTGATTTAGTTTTCACAGTACTTTACACCTCTGGTGGTGGGTTTCTTTTTTTCCTTTGCATCCAGGGAGACTGAGGTATACAGAAAGTACGAGTGTCGTGGGGTCACAGGTTTCACCCCAAACACACAGGTAACCTACTTCTTGTTAGAAGCGGAACATCTGAGGTAGATCAAAAATATATTTTGCATTTTGACATTTAATTGGATTTGTGCTCCGAAGAGGCATCCAAACGAATCAAAGAGATCTCAGGATGTTCATTTTTGAGCTGAAAATGTAATTGTTTCTATGAAACGCAAGTCCTTCAGCATTAGCATATTTTCTTGGTGAATGTTTGCTGTAGCTCTGCTCAGAACTGAGGCAAATCCTGTTGGCCTTCGGTCTTACCAGCATTTAGTTACCTTTAAACCTACTTAGAGATCTACACCTAGTTATTGCTTAGTGAAGTTTAGCAAGTCTGTTTCCAAATGTATTTGCAGCTCCAGAGGAAGGGCAATGTTATCGTCAGCATTCATGCTGCTGTCCACCTGCCCTCGTGCACAGAGCTTGATTTTCTCAGTAGTGCTCGGTGGTGCAGACCTGTCAGAGCAGAACTGGAGAAAGGTGCTCCTTGCCTCTGTGATGGCAAATGAGCTGTGTGGCTCCTAGCTTGTCGGATCTTCAGTTAAGCAAAACAGAATGGGAGCCCTGCATTTCTCACAAAATGAGGCTTGAGTTTTGTTTTTTGCTGTCAGTGGGCAAACTCATCACTGGGCTTCTGAGTCCAGCAAATCAGTCTGAGGCTGCTCGATATTCTGGGGGCAGTGTCAGAAGAAGAAATCTCTGCTTCTGCTCTGTCCCTTCTCCTCTGAGGCAGAGCTGCTTTTGCAGCTGCTCAGGAAACTGGATTGAGCAAGCTGAAAAAACAGTATTTATTTATTTATTTATTTATTTATTTATTTATTTTCCTGTGGGTTTTTCGGTGTATTGTCAAGACAGGGAAAAGCAGGCAGGGATTGGAAGACTTCAGCTGCTTTAAAACCTGCAGCTTCAGAATATTCAGCCATAGGCAGATGTAGGCTCTAGGCAGCTTCCTGCCCACTGGAGGCTCTCTTGTGTCGTCTGTCCAGTTTTCTGTCCTCTGTTCTGCAAAGTCTGTAGGCATTTGCAATCCCAGTTGATGAGGACTCACTGTGCCCTGCAGAATCCAGCCTTACACCTCCGGGTGCAGGCTTGCAGTGTGTCCTCAGGCAAAGCTAAAGCATACAGCTGCGGTGCAGAGATATGCACAAGAAATAACATAATTATTTGCAGTGTAAATGCTGCGTTCCCTTCGTGTTGTTTCCAATATTCCCAACACACCTTGCTGGTTCCCCTTGTAAAACAAAACATAACATGGCAGTTACAGCAAGCTCTTTCCATGAATGGCACATAGTTTCACTGAAGTATTTCTCGCCTTCATCTAAAAATGAAAACTAAGCAAACAATGTTTCTGCAACACACTAAGAGAGTTGGTATGAGGGAATTTGTCTCTGGAGACCGCAGTGCATTCTCAGCTATCAACTCGAGGCATTTTTTCCTCAGTGGAAGCTGTTTGTGCAATTCATTTCCTGTCTGTTCCTTGGCTTTTATGTTGTTATAGGGCCCAATTCTGCGAGCGGTGATGTGGGAGGTGAACTTGCTCATAAATGGGCTCATTGATTGAACTCATTGGAATTATGTGCCTAATCAGACATGCACTGCTCTCTGCTGGATCAGGTCTCTCCCCCTCCTCCCCACGAAGAGAGAATATTCTGTCTTCATAAATTGATGCAGTGAGGAAAACCTCCTGGCTTGTGCATTTGTAACACAGAGCTGTAACAAAACCTGTGTTTTTCTCCCTGAAGATTTGCTTTGCCTAGGATAGAAATCCCCTCACAGCTGCAACAATCTATATTTTAAACATTTTCCCTTCATGTGCCTCCCAGTTAAAATATCATATGAAGTACAGCTGGAAAATCTCTTGCAGAAAGAATAATTCTTTTTCCTTTCTGTTTTCTGGCTATTTCTGAGCATTTTACCTTACATCCACTTGTCCTCAGGCCCAGACAATGCTCTGTAATTTATGGATGCCCTTTGCCTGTGTCAGCTGCACAGGAGTTTGCAGAGCTTCTCCTGCCTCAAGAAACGCTGGGAAGCATTTGATGGCATCCTCATGCACAGCCAGCGCTGTGATTCCTGCGTGTGGAGGAGAAGTGACGGGAACAGCCATGGGGCTTCATGGAGGGGTGATTAAAAGCAAGCTGGGATGGGGAGAAGGGGATTGACAAGGAGATAATGAGAAATGAGCCTGCAACCTTAGCGTTCTTCATTTTACGCTTGATTTCTTTCCTTAATGTCTATGTCACATCTTATTTTTGCCATAGCCGTTTCACACATGTTAAAACTAAGGCACAAACGGAGTGGCTGGGAAGCTCATCTATGCCAGGGTTAGACAAAGGAACCACAAGACCTTCTCTCAAAGTCTTGGAGCCTTCCAGAATTGGAACGGAATGGCGGCTGAAAGGCAGCGTGTTACTTGGTCACGGGGGGCTGTTTCTGCAGGGCTGCGTGCCTATTGCCACGGGCACCCAGGAAGCTGCTTTCTATGCCAGGAGGTCGGGATGTGACCCAAGAGGGAGAAGTAGGTGTGATGGGATTCATGAATTTTGACTGCACGGTGGTGTGGGCAGATTCTGGGCTGTCTGTAAGCTGAGTGCCAGCCTGAGCACTGCGAGCTCTGCAGCCACAGCAGCGTAGATGATATGGCTGGAGTGTTCATCCGGCTTGTCGGGAATTTCTTGCCTCTTTGCTAAGCTTGGTGGAGCTGCAGCACCACTGTTCAACCCAGTGCAGGTTTGTCACCCCAATGCTCTTCCAGCCCTGATTGCACCACAGTGTGTGTCCATCGTGGCTATGGTGTGGGTGTGTTGCCCGGCTGATGTTGCCGGTATCTCTTCAGTGGTTCTAAAATGAAATTCAAAACTGCAGTGTTTTTATTGCTGCCCCATCAGCAAATTGACCTGACCCAGGCTGGTAACTAAAGCAGAGGCCAGGCAGAGGCTGGTGTTTGGGAGTGGCGCTGTGAGCTCTTGGAAGAGTTTTGCTGCATGCTAGCGGAGCGGGAGCTCGGGAGCCTGACCAGTGAGGAGGGTCTGCTTCCAGTGCAACAGGAAGATAATCAATCATGCTACTCGCTTGTGTCTTGGCAAAGGTATTTAGCTATCAGCCAGCTGGTTAGCTGCCTCAAGGCCACCTGCCTGACTGAAAAACAGAGAATCAGTTTCTTTCCCTCGCAAAGGGAAGCGGGGAATATTGACTTGTGGGATAATTTTAGGTGGATGATTAAATTTGGCCTCCTAGGCCCCGGTTGAAAATCCAATTCAGATGACTAGTTTTCTGTTCATACACTGCTGAGCAATCTCGTATTCTGCCACCACTAATGTTCCTGATGTTGATTGTCCTTTCACTCTAACAAAGCACAGAAAAGCCCAGCCTGCTCTCTATTTCCTGTGGCTTTGGGCTATCAAAACATAATGAGAAGACTGCTTTCGGTTTATATTAAGGACGTAGAGCCTACCCTCAGACAAACTGACTATCTACCTTGTAGTCACATAGCGGTGTTGTAACAGGTGCAGTGCTCAGAAAGATTGTGAATTTTCTACTGACTTAGACTGTTTTC